CAGCCGTTTACTTTACCCGACCTTCTGAGGACCCGGCCCACGTAGACCGCGAAGGCCGGGTCTACGTGCTTGCTCATTTCAACCTAAACAAAATGCCTCAGGAAGCATCTGTTTTTATCCTTTATCGAGGTTTTTTGGACAAATCAGAAATATTAACCCCAAAGTTCAGAGCTTTCAGCAAGTTTTACACCCCTGCCACGGATGCACGTTTTTCTGTGGTAAACACATTTCCCTGGAGCCAGGGCCTCTCCACAGGATCCTAGTCCCTTTTGGTTTTTGAGCTGTTTGTTCACGCCTCTTTTGCTTTTATTAAAATGTATTAATATGCAGTTCAGAACCAAAACGATTCCTCATCGCCGTATTTTCATGTATCTTCAGTGGATTAACAAAGACATTTCTTAATTACAAAGTCTCATTTAAGTCCTAAATATTGGAAGAAAAAAACAAAACATCCACAGCAGAAGTCGTTCAGCTGCTTAAATTTGAAATGGTTACTTTCTGGTGGATTATAAAGGGAAGAGAGAGACTGTGTGATGAGATATTCCTTTTCAAAGTGAATCCATTCCGCTGTTGCTTCGTCGTAGCTCAGACCCCGTGCTCTTCACATCGTCCACAAAAGCAACCCCCTTTGGGCTCACTGTCACACCTCAGTTGCCCCAAGCTAAGCGACGCCACCTCGGGTCACTTGGAGCTGTTGTGTTTCCCCCTGACATCCGAGAGAGCAGCTCTCCACGCTCCGCTCACTCTCCGTGGACCTTCCCAGTGTCTTGTTTTTCTGAGAACATAAATCATTTTATCCTGAGGGATGAAGTATGCTAATCTGATAATAGTGACACATTAATTCTTTTAGTCTGCGAGAATGTTTTGAAAGTGAGATTTGAGAACAGCACATTCTTGGCTTATCTTTGCCATTCAGGGATTTATTCCCTTTGTCCTGCACATAATATCTTTTATATGTGTATTTATTTATATATAAATGAAATTTTGTCAAATCTAGTTGCTTTGTTGTACTTCGGGAAGCAGATTTAGCCGAGACCTGCGTCCTTGTTCTCTTGCAGCTCCCACGCAGATGTTGGAGCCGGTGACTCTGCCGGGAATCGTATCCTGCGTGCTGAGCATCCTCTGTGGGGGGCTGAACCTGCTGCGAGGGGTCCACGCTATAGAGAGCATACTGCAGGTGAGGGCTCTCACACTCAGTTTCTCTTAAAGGGAAATGAATGCTCAGTGCAAGGCTGGTTCGAGTTCGATCCTTTTAGCTGTCAGTTTTATTTGTAGCGAGAAACTTAGAGGACGAATGAATTCCCGAGGGCTGGAATGTAGGTCCGTCACAGAAAAGCAATCAGGTAGTCAGGAAACGCAGACTTTAAAGGTGGCGGGATTTATTCTAAAGAGAAATTGACGGCAAAGACTTCACTGTAAACATTCATCCCAGTTTACTAACGAGCAACTTTGACGTCATGAGCCACTAATATCTCCTGACTAACATAAACTTATGACTGATTACGGTCTGTCTGGGCTCACGTCACTACCACATGCCTGCCATCGTGTCCCTTGATAGAGCACCTGTCACATCACACTCTATGAACTAGATTAGATCACAGTGCATGAGTAAAGATACCTCGACATGTTCTCGTCATATTGGTTTGTTTATTTGTCCCTACATAAACGACTAGCGCTTAAAAAAACAACAAAAACAAGCATTTTCTCTGTGTCTGCAGAATGATGATGAAGACTTTAATTACGTGATTGCCTTCTTCCTCGGCACAGCGGCCTGTCTGTATCAGGTAAGTGATAGTCTGCGGTAAGGGGAGCCCATCACTGGCTGACTAACAGCCCTGCACTTTATAGCTCAGCAGCTTGTCAGCTGCACATTAGCAAAAGCTCAGTGCCTTTCGGTCCAGTAGCTTCTCGACAAGATTTTGCTCAGCTTTTTTTGTGCAGCTCCTGATACTAAATGAATCACCGCAGACTGGTAGACACAGTGATGGGCACAGAGACGTCAAATGGGGATTTCTTATGAAAACATCTGCGCATCGTTCACGCTCTCTGTCTTTCTCCTTTCAGTGCTACCTGTTTGCCTACTTCTCAGTCTGGAGGAACAGCAAGTCCTTCCTGGCCTTTGCACTCATCTGTCTTTCCAACATGTATTTGTACGAATTGAGGAACATCTGGCAGATCCTCTTTCACGTGGCGGTGGGCGCCTTCATGACCCTGCAGATCAGACTGAGGCAACCGCTGGGCAAAGCACCGGACTACAATGTCTGACAAAAAAAGATCTGAAACTCGAAGGATAAATGGACCTGTAGTCTGAAAATACTGGAAACAAAATAGAGACAAAAAACAAAAAAAGCAAGCATCTCGATCCAGTGAGAAAAGCCAAAAGCGATCTCGCAGCAGCGCGGTAGCCCTGTTCAATAAACCCCAGCAGCTGTGAACAGATCTCAGTTTGGACTCTGCTGCAGCTTGAATCATTTATGGACCTTACTGGGAAGCCACTGCCCGATAACAATTTTCGACTTCCTTTCAGCGCATCCATCCCACCTGCAGGACGGATGCAGTTTTGCTCCCTCTGCAAGCACCAAGTATTGAAAGCGACGCCACTCGCTGCCGAATGCTTCGGCGAAACAATCACATGAACTTCATCTTCTACGTAAAGCCACTGGTTCTCCATCAGGTGCACGACTGGTTTCAGTCATGGTTTAAAACTATGCAACGCTGCCTTCTGCATGTGCGCGTCCTCGTATCTTCTTTCGTAAGTGTCTGTCATCGTTTAGACCCTTCTGCTTATTTATTTACCGACTGATTTCTCTGACGAAGAATTCTCCAGATTTTATGAATTTTGATCGCTCCACTTTTATGTACACTTGTGTCTTTTTTTTAGTCGCTCCTGTTTCAGCCGATGCAAACAGGCTGCTCGCATTCGTACCCTACTTCCTCGCCTACACAGCCTCAAGCATATGCCAGTGTCAAGTGACTGTGTTAATAAACAGGTCTGTGTTGGGAGCGGTATAGATGCAGAGCTGCGTTGTCAAAGCCAGAGGCGGCCTGTATCATCCGAACAGCCTCTGGCCTGTTTTTTTTTATTCCCCCCTCCCACCGAGCGCCTCAGTTCAGACTTGGCTGCCATTTCTAAAAACAAAAACAAGAAGGAAAAAAACAAAAACTCATCTTTCACATTTAGCCTGCATCAAGGATATTGGCAGTGTTCACATTTAACACAATTATGACACAAA